AGATTGTGTTCCAATTCAACAGTATAGACTAAACTCTTTAAATCCAGTATGAGATAAAAGGAACAATCATTTACCCAAGTCATGTCATGGAAATAATAAAGCGTTCCCAAAGTGTTCTCATTCTATTTTTGGTAGAGAAAGTGTTCTGTGAGTCTGAGGAGAGAGAAGGCTGGGGTGATGGTGGACATGGCAGGGTGGGAAGGAGAGCCAGGAGAACTCAGAGGCAAACATCAGGATGCCACTGCCTCTAATCCCTGTGATGCGCTGCTGGTGCTCCCGTGACTCTTCCAGGGATTGGTTAATCCTGGATTAGGACCGGATTAGACTTTCCAATTCTCAAAACACAGTCACATTATTTCCCCAAATACTTGCACTGTGAAAGAATTGGTTCAGCAAATGATTGTTACAAGATTTAATGTTTGTTTTTGTATTCTGGTGAATTCCATTATTCCCCACCACAAAAACATTCTGGAGTCTTCCTCAATACCTGGACGGCTATTATATAATTGAGGGCAGAGTGTTTGTTGTAGCTAAAAAATTTCAGCCTAGAGGGCAAAACTGGAGTGGCTTGAGAATTTACCAAGAGGCACGATTTCGTGACATTTTAAGGTTCTTTTCTGGGAACTGATTTCCCTGGACTTGCAAGACTCCAAATGTTTTCCAGTTCTGGTGTTCTGTACCATTTCTCCAGGACATCTAAGATTGGTAGTACTTGTCTCACTGGGAGGGGAAAAAAAAAAAAAAAGCCAGATCTTGATGTCACGCCCACATCTGCCTGATCCTAGAGACAGTAAACTGTAAGGGAAGTCGGGTTTTAAACCAGATCAACTTGGATTCTTTGGACATCCTACTTCACCGTTTGGAAGGTCAGTTCCCTCCACTGAAAACGGAAACAATTTGTAGACAGCGTGTACATTGTCTTCCTAAGGAAAAAAATCTTCCTTTATTTGGGGATCCTAGCTAAAGCCAGGGGTCTTGCTGCACGCATTAGTCCGGCCGGCAGGGGGCAGCAGACTCCAGCCCTGCGCTCCCGGGACCGAGGAAGCCCGCACAGACAAGCAAGTTCCCAAGGTCTCGGCTCCCGCAGCCCCAGAGCTGCACCCCGCTTCCGGGCCTCGGAAAGCAGAAGGACGTGGGATCAGGGATGCCGCGTCTCACGAAGCGTCTCCGAAAAGGACTCAGTTCCCAAGTCAAGGCAGGCCACAGTACGAGAGTGCGCCTGCGCAGAAACTGCTTCCGGGGTGAGGTACTGCGCTTGCGTGTCCCCACTTTTCCTCTTCAGCTGCAGCAAGGGCTCAGGGCTGCAGGCGAGCTGTGCACCCATCCCATCAAGGAAACTTTCCTTGCAATGGCATGAAAATAAACGGGTCTTTGCTGAGCATGCGCCCTCTCCTTCAATCTCTCAATCTCCACATCAAGAAAAAAATTCAGAGGACCTGGGGAAGGAGGGATGGAGGCTGCCCTCCCAGAGCTCTTTCCTGTCCTGATGCTGGGAATTTCCTGAATTTCTGCCTTCCCGGGGCCCTAAATATCGCACATATTTTACCTTCTACCTTGCCGTAAGGGGGGTGTGGTGGTCGGTAAGGTTCAACCCGGCTTCCTTCAAAAATGGCTTTCATCCCTGCTTAGCTCAGACGTAGGCAGCTGTTTTATTTTTGTGTGAAAAACGCTCTGTGTATATTTGTCTGTAGATCTCTTAGTGGGTGGACCAGACCTTCGAGGTTTTGGGAAAGGAGAAGGCAGGGATTTGCCCTTCAGTTCTGTGTGCCGAGCAGCAAATCATTTTGCTGCATTGCGTCCAGGATGCTTTCTGGCCTTGTACCGGTACCAAGCCTCCTCTCTGTTGCAGGGACATTCACTGAACGTGCTTTCCTCTTCCAGCCACACTCCATTCCTTTCATGTTCTTCTTTTTTTTTTTTAATCAGCCAGCATTTTATTTTCTAACTTTCTTTTTATTTAATTCTATGTGTGTTTTGCATCATGTATCTTGATCCCATTCATTATCCTGTCCCTTGGCATCCGCCCTCCACCCCTGCACCTCCCCCCAAATAAAACAAAATTTAAGAGAAAAAATAATAATAAATTAATAAAAGGGAAAAATTAAAAATCTCACCATGGAAGCTGCAGTGTGACACACTGAGTCGGGAGTAAACACCTTTGTCCATATATCTTTACTTGCAAGTATTCATTGCAAAGAGTCGTTGGTGTGGTTGGAGGCCTCTGGTGTCTATTACACTATCGATGCTGGGCCCTCACTAGGGCTCTTCTAGGATATCCTGTTGTTGCCCTGTGTCATGAAGACCCTGCAACTTTGGGTCTGCGGGTCAGGTCCCTTCACGTGCTCCAGCAGATCATAGATGGAATGGGTGTTGTGGCTGGCCAAGTCATAACCCTGGTTTTGGGCCTGGGCACCTGCAGGGTTGGTCCATCCTCCAGCTATCCCTTGTCCTCACCACCAGGCGGCGCTCTCCTGCATTGCCCTGGCTAGTTCACCTCTTGCAGCAATGAGCAAGGAGTGGGGCCGGTTCTCCTGCTTTCACATGCTCAGGGTCAGCCCTCCCACACCTACATCATCAGAGCCACCTCCATTGTGTTGCCCAGGTGAAGTACAGGGGCCACTCTCCTGAGTGCAGCAGCTGGTGAGGGGTAAGGACAGCCCTCCCGCTCTTAGGACGCCAGGGCCAGCTCCTCGATCTGTCTCAGGCATTGATGGGTGGCGGTGGGGGGGTGAGGGGAGAGGGCATCTTTCCTCCACCCATGCTGCCACATGTCTAATGAGTAACGGGGACAGTTCTCCCTTGCTCACAACGTCAGGACTGGGTCACCCTCACCTCCGATCACCCGGCCCGCTCTGCTGTGCTGCCTAGGCAGGGGCAGCGCCCGCTTTCCTGGTTTCTGCAGTTGGTAAGGCTCAGCTTTCTTGTCTGTTGCAGGTGGTAAGGGACAAGGGGTCAGGGGAGGATCTCTCCCCCGCCCACACACCCACACTGCCGCATGACGGACAGTAGTAGGGACAGTTCTCCCACACTTGCAGCTTCGGGGCTGGCTCACCCACACCTGCACCAACAGGGTTGGCTCTGTTGTGTTGCCCAGGTGAGGTGCAGGGCCTGCTCTCCCAGGTGTTGCAGATGGTGGGGGCAGGGACAGCTCTCTTGTGACATCAGGGCAAGTTCTCCCGCCTGTCTCAGGCACTGATGGCGGGAGGGGGAGGGTATCTTCCCCCCACTCATGCCGCCACACGGCAGATGAGGAGCGGGGCTCTGTCTCCCTTGCTCACGTTCTCGGGCTGACTCACTTGTGCTCTCCTCAACAGGGTCAGCTCCGCTGTGCTGCCCAAAGTGCAGG